GGCTGACTACTTTTTTGCCCCACTGTATGTTTTTATTTCTGTTCACTCTTAATGGATTTTTGCTGACCAGGACTGAATGATGAGGTTTTAAGGTTTTGTTTATAGATAACAGGAGATATGAGTTCATCTGTTTATTTAAGGTTAAAATAGTTATGTTGGTTCTGGTAACTCTTAATGGAATTTTACTAACTATGACTGAATGATGAGATTTTACAGATCTGTTTATAAATAAGTGATGAGATATAAAAGTAAAGGAAGGAATATAAAGTGGGTTTATCTGATTAAGTTTAAATAGATATATTGTTATTTCTGGTAATCCTTAATGGACTTTTGCTGATTAGGACTGAACGACAAGGTTTTTAAGGATTTGTTCATAGATAGGAGATGAAGTGATTGTTTGGTATATTTTAAGAGAAGGTGATAAGTTTTTAAAATCGTTTATACTTCTTGTGACAAAGGGGGAACTTATTTTCTTATATACTTTTCTTTTCTTTTCTTTTTTTCCTTTCCTTTCCTTTCCTTTCCTTTCCTTTCCTTTCCTTTCCTCTTTTCTTTTCTTTCATATATATTCATTTTTTCTCTATTTTTTATATTATTCTTTTTTACTGCACTTTTTTTTCTATTCTTTTATTTTTTGTAGTTTGTATTAGTTTTTTATCTGTATGATTGTAACATTTAATAAAATTATTATAAAAAACATTGGTTTGGACAAAACTTAGCAAGGTTTCAGAGTTGTCAAAAATTCTCTTAAACGTATTTGCACATAACTTTATCAAAGTACATAAGAGTAGCATTACCGACAGATTTAGATTTTAAGTAGCATTAATTTCCACCCCTGGTAGCTATAAACTGGAAAGCAGTCAGGAGCAGCAAAGTAAAAGAGTAAGTAGTTTGAGGAAAACATTGAAATAAAGATAGCACTGGTGAAGTGAAAGAGGCAGGATTTGTGAATCTATGATGCAATGTTTTCCACTTACTCTTCACCCCCTTTTTCCCCTTGCGCTCCTTTTTGTACTGTTCCTTCAGTTTGGTTATTACTCCCTGGTCCACATTCCAGGCTTCAGGCATGAGACACTGGTCTTCCTTTTCTAGACAAAGTAAAACAAATGAAACATCCTTTTTGTGCTACTTAATTAAAAAAAAATGTTTTGTTTTTGGACTGATGGCAACAGCTGTTGATCAGTGCAATTTTTACATCAACGATGTTTTATTTATTTATTCAATTTATATGGCCGCCCATCTCAAATACATGAGTGTGGGTGGCTAATAGTACTTAAAACAAGATTTAAAAAGTATAATAAAATTATAAACAACATGAATAGCAGCTGAGAAAAACCAAACAACAGCAATTAACATAACTATGTTATGGGCTCAGCCACACATCCAGGGCCCCAGGCTCAATGCAAAACTGGGTCTTCAAGGCCTTATGAAAGGTCAGCAGGGTCGGGGTGAATCTGAGCTCCAGGGGAATGATGTTCCAGAGGACGGGCACCACAACAGAAAAGGCTCTCTTCTTGGATCCCATCAGATGACACTCCCTAACAGATGGGACCTGGAGCACACATCTCCTGACAGATCTAACAGAGTAGGAAGATACAACCAGGAAGAGATGATCTTGCAAGTGACCTGGCCCCAAAACATTAAGGTCTTTAAAGATAACTGCCAGCACCTTCAAGTTAAACCCAGAAGCATACTGGCAACCAATGCAGCTTGCAGAGCAGAGGCATCACATGTGCCAAACAACAGGCACCCATAATTGCCCACACCACTGCTTTTTGTACCAGCTGAAGCTTCCAAATGCTCTTAAAGACAGCCCCATGCAGAGCACATTCCAGTAGTTCAATCAGGAAGTGACCAAGGCATGAGTGACCGTGAACAGGAACTCCCAGTCCAGGAACAGGGCAACTGGCGCACAATATGCTGCCACTGAAGGTCGAGTTAAACTTGATGGTCTTGTGTTTCTTCTCATATTTAACCTTGTTCACAAAGAAAATGTTCTAACCGAACAAGGAGCCATAACCTTAAATTCTGACCATCTCTTTTCTACTTGTTAGAATTACAGATATATCATCATCATCTTTGGTTTGATCCAGGATGAAGTTTTACTTGTTCAGATGTTTTTAGAAAAACAAACCTGTAGCTGGTGTTAATGTTTATTCTGGTCAGAATGGAAAATCTTTTAATTTTGATTGTAATAATTTCAAGCACATTATATTTTAAGTTCTGTTTGTGTATCTGAACATGTTGTCAGATTTCTCTTCTATTATACAGGTCTTCACAAAACAAAGCTAAAATTTAAAGTGAGAAAAAAGGGTGCACTGCTGCACTAACAATATAAACAGCAAATCTAAGCATTTTTTTCAGGTATGTGATTAGGAATATATTTCATCTTTACTTTATATATTGTAAGATACAACACAAGAAACATGCCACATAACTGCTTTCTGAAATTGTTCCGAATCACATATTGATCAGTCCTGGAGAACATTTTTTCTTTCAATTTCTCTATTCATTTACTGTACAAGATAAAATTATTGCAATACATCTTTCCACAAACCACACTATACGCTATACCTACGCTTCAGGCTGCACGTAATGGCAATTTCTTTGAACAGTTATATTACTAAAACAAAACACCTGAAAGAGCTTTAGCTAAGAACTGTATTACCTAATGGTAAGCAAAGACATTTTAATACTTGAACTGGAACGTGCCACAAGACTTGGGGATTTGCTAAAACATTTGGAATATTTGACAAATATCTATATAGCTTGCAATTCTGCAAACATACTTAATAATCTTAAGTGATATACAGGTAGTCCTCGTTTAGCAACCACAACTGGGACCGGCAACTCAGTTGTTAAGTGAAGCAGTCGCTAAGTGTGAAATCAGGTGACCACAACTATGCTTACAATCTTACTTCAGCTTTCTTTTGCTTTACATATTTGTGAAGGTCATAAATGTAGGCATTGGTCACAGTTACTTCTTTATCACTGTCGTAACTGTGAACGATTGCTGTCTGAGGCAGTCGCTAAGTGAGGACTACCTGTAAAGCAAGTTTCTTGAAACTGTTTTTCAGGTTCCATATGGGTTTTTGGCTATTTTGTGACATATAACCTGCTTATACAAGCTTGCCTTAGCAACAAGGAAACCAGATGGAGGTTAATTACAGCAGTCTTTACTCCCAATACAAAGGACCTAATAAGAAAAAGGTAGAGATTTGGGGGGTAGGGGTCTTTATTCCTAAAACCAACAAGTTGATAAGGTACTTCAGGTGAATAGTACCACTGCTACGTTGGCCAGATAGTAGGATGGTTTTCTTCCCCATGCCACTTTTTGGGAGACTCTGAGGAAGAAGGAAATTGCCAAACCTCCAAACAGTGACAAACTGGGGAGTGGTAGGGAGATGAGGGACATGGTACTCTTGACTTGTGTTCTTAACTCATTTTCATCTCTGTATATCACAGCAGAGATGTAAACTTAAATGGCCTCTTAAAAGGTAAACTCATTCTAATATTTTAAAAGGAAATTGTTATATGAAAAGAAGTGCTCCATTATCCCATGCATGTAAGGACTCTTTCACTGGATAGTCATATATTTCTCTCTAACTTCAGTCCTTTGTAATCTTACCTAAAAATTAGTCCAAGTGGATTAGGTGAGATTTACCTTAGAGAAAATATGCACATGACTGTTCTGTTAGCCATAGCTTCAAACTATACTACACACAGGAGAATAAAAACCACAGATGGGAAACAATGACATATGGGAAGTTTACCAAGGTAATGGCAACAAATCCAAATTTATTTATTTATTTTATTTATTTATTTAATTTGTCCCCACCCATCTCCCCACAATGGGGGACTCTGGACG